CCTCGCTTCTCCACCACTCAAGACTGTTCCGACATTCTTCACATCCACTTCCTTGCCCTTTCCCCAATACCCTCAATTCCCCTACTGATCAAGAATGCATCTAACTAAGCCTTAATATACTCAAGGGCTCTGCCTCCACAGCTCTCTGTGACAAGGAGTTCAAACAGCCTCAACTCTCAGAAGAAATTTCTCCTCGGCTCAGTCTTAAATTAACATCCCTTAATTCTGAGCCAATGCACTCTCACCCCAGGCTCCCACTGAGGGGGATCAATCTCTCAGCATTTGCCTTTGTCAACCCCCCTATGAAAACTAAAACCAAAACACCCAAAGAGGGGTACATCACCCTATAATCTGTTAAAAAGGAGTGTGAAAAGTGGTGTAACCTGCCTTTCAGCAACTTCTGGTGGTTAAATAAAGTAAATTCCTGATACTCACTTTACAATCAAAAAATAACAATTTATTTATCTAACTCTAACAGTGAACAAATTAACTAAACTATTAACAAACCATATAAACCCCTTCTAACTACGAACTATTCCCAAATAAAACAAGATGCTAATGGTATGATATACAAATAAATACAAGTCCCACTTATATAAAATAAAGATATAGACTTTAGTCTCTTGAAATTACACCAGGTTACGTCTTCTAGAATGTTCTGTCAAGAATGCCTTCTCCATTGAATATTCTGTCAGGAATATTAACTAGCTGTGCCATAGGTACCTTGGATTTAGATGGTACTTTCTCTAAAGCTTAGATAAAACTGTGAGAGTCAGTGATTTTCTCTCAAGAGCTGAGAGATGTTAACTCTAGCAGATGGCAGTTAGCTCTCCTGTCTTTGTCCAACTGCCCTCTTTTTTCATACTCTTGATGACAGATCAATATTTCTTACAATTGGTCCTATGTTGTCAAAACCATCAGTTCTAAATTTAAGATAACAAGGTGTAGAGCTGGATGAACACAGCAGGCCAAGCAGCATCAGAGGAGCAGGAAGGCTGACGTTTCGGGCCTAGACCCTTCTTCAGAAATGTGTTCATCCAGCTCTACACCTTGTTATCTCAGATTCTCCAGCATCTGCGGTTTCTACTAGTTCTAAATTTAATTGGTTTTTAGTATCTACCTGATTTAAATGGATTGGCTAAAATCAAAACTTGTTGTCTTGATAACAAAACAAAACTGCTGCTTGGCCAGCTAACCATACGGCCTTTTAATACAAATGTTTTAATGTGGATGCTCTCCTTGCACCTGCAAACCCACAAACTGCTGCCCACAGACATCCTTTTTGAAGCTCTAAGCACAGAAAAAGTACATCATCTTTTAAAGAGACTGCACACCCCCCCCACCCCAGTATTTTACAAACACCAAATTCTAACTTCCTGCCTTCCAATTCACAAGAACTCTACCCAACTTTGTAACACTTGTCAAACCTCTTAAGAATCCTATATGTTTCAATGTAGATCACCTCTCATTCTTCTAAACTCTAATGAGTAGATTCCCAACCAATTCAGCCTTCGCTGAAAAGACAATACCAGGGATCATCTCCAGTGAACCTTCTCTGAACCGCCTTCAATGAAATGATATCTTTTCTTAAATAAGGACACCAAAATTGCTCACAGTACTACAGGTGGCCTTACCTTGTACAGTTGCAGTAAGACTTTCTTGAAATAAGAGCCAACATCCCATTTACCTTCCTGATTAGCTGCTGCACCTGTATGCTATTTTTCTGTGTTTTGTGCACAAGTACTCACCCAAGCCTATTTGCGTTAGAGATAGTAGGAACTGCAGATGCTGGAGAATCTGGGATAACAAGGTGTAGAGCTGGATGAACACAGCAGGCCAAGCAGCATCAGAGGAGCAGGAAGGCTGACGTTTCGGGCCTAGACCCTTCTTCAGAAATGGGGGAGGGGAAGGGGGTTCTGAAATAAATAGGGAGAGAGGGGGAGGTGGATAGAAGATGGATAGAGGAGAAGATAGGTGGAGAGGAGACAGACCGGTCAAAGAGGCGGGGATGGAGCCAGTAAAGATGAGTGTAGGTAAGGAGATAGCGAGGAGATAGGTCGGTCCAGGGAAGACGGACAGGTCAGGGGGCGGGATGAGGTTAGTAGGTAGGAGATGGGGGTGGGGCTTGAGGTGGGAGGAGGGGATAGGTGGGAGGAAGGACAGGTTAGGGAGGAGGGGACGAGCTGGGCTGGTTTTGGGATGCGGTAGGGGGAGGGGAGATTTTGAAGCTTGTGAAGTCCACATTGATACCATTGGGCTGCAGGGTTCCCAAGCGGAATATGAGTTGCTGTTCCTGCAACCTTCGGGTAGCATCGTTGTGGCACTGCAAGAGGCCCAGGATGGACATGTCGTCTGCGGAATGGGAGGGGGAGTTGAAATGGTTCACGACTGGGAGGTGCAGTTGTTGAGTGCGAACGAGGCAGGGATTTCCGTTGCAGTTTTTTGTAGTTATTCTTAATTTAAATAATATTGTTCTTTTGACCAGAATAGACAACAATACCCTAGCTGTGGCCTAACTGGAGCTTCAATAAGATACAGTATAAACTTCCTCTGTTTGTACTCGATGACTTTATGAAGCCCAAGCTGACATGCGTTTTGCTAATTGCCCTCTCCATCACCTTATCATACTCCTGCCTTTTCCCTATAACCTTAATAATAAAAACTAGTAAAGGCTATTCCAGCATTGTAGCCTTTACTATCCCCCATGGACTGCTGTGGTTTAAGCAGACAGCTCATATCATTAATACCTCAAAAAGGTACTAAGGATAAACAATAAATGCTGGCCCAGCCAGCTCTGCCTACATGTAAAGTCCCCTGTTCTATTCTTATTAGGTCAAGCCAATGTTTTCACATCTGTTTACGTTAAAAGCCATAGCTTTGCCCATTCACTCAATTTCTCAATATCTTGATAATTTTATGCTTCTATCCACACTCTTATGATACAAATTTTGTGCCATTGATAAATCTGGGCATGTGACTTTCTATTCCATCATCTAAGTCATTGACAAATAGGTAGACTAGGTGAAGCCCCAACATAGCTTTTGGTGGGACGCCACATTCTTCTGATTCCAGTACCTGATCATTATCCCTATTGTTGCTCAGCCAACTCCCCAACCACATTAATAATTTGCCCAGAATTCCATAGGCTTCAATTTTAACTAACAGTTTTGCGTACCTTATCAGGTAGACAAACAGGAGGCTGGAGGAACACAGCAAGCCAGGCAGCATCTGGGGGAAAGGAGCAGGCAATGTTTTGGGTATTACCCTGCATCTGGGGGAAAGGAGCAGGCAATGTTTTGGGTATTACCCTTCTTCAGGACTGGAGGACGCCTGGCTTGCTGTGTTCTTCCAGCCTCCTGTGTGTCTACCTTGGATTCCAGCATCTGCAGGTTTTTTGTCTCTAAATGGGTACTTTATTAAATGTCTTTAAATAAAATAGAAGAATTGGTGATGAAGGCTAAATATCAGAGGAAGCATGTACCAAAATCATGATCCAGGACACTATACTGAATTGCTGCAGGCAATATCTGGTCAAGGAACTTGAGCCGGAAGATGCAGCTGCAGACCTGAGTCAGAGGCACTGTGGCAACAGGGATCTCAGACAAGGTTGCAGTGTGAAACAGAATAAGTCCAATTGAACATTTAATTTTTGAAAGAAATGAGCTGAGGTAACTGGACTGGGCAGCAGAGTACTTTTAAAGGCAAGATTGAAAGTAATGCATGCCATTCCCAAGAATATATCATGATCTGTTAAAGAAAAAGGCAAGAGAGAGGCTACTAATAGGATACTGATGTAAATATATCATTCTATACTCAGGTAACAGTCCACAGATTTATTCCCATCATAGCTACTAACAGAAATAAATATTTCTGATAAGTCAGGAAGCTGAGGAAGGAATAGGAAGAATTCCTATTGGTCAGATCCTGGCTAATACTATTGAGAAATCAATGGAATTAGACTTGTGATGGAGGACTGGAACTTGAAATGAAGGATCTTTATTACGGTCCAGAAACAAGACAGAAAGTATGAGTTAGAAGGTCCAGCATCTGGGCTTTGGGTAAAGCCAAAAAAATTGTGCCCTGTATCCCCAACATCTTCCACCACTGTGTCCCAAAACCCTGAATGCCCCTAACCATTTTATCCAAACTCTCAACCACTCTCACCACTGCCCAACGACCCAATGTCTGGTGCCCAAAATTATCACTTATTTGATAGGCTACATGTGCCAGAAAATTGTTTAAATGAGGCAAAGTCTACTTCTTTCTTCCTAGTTACATGATCCAGTACCTTATTCCAAATGCAACATTTTCCTACACTTCCCCAGAACCAAGAAACCAGATCTAAGAAACAATTTTGTACTTCGGGAGTGCTGCATTGCTGGAGGTGCTAATGGCACTTTAAACACTTTGTTTTTAGCTAAACCAAGAATGAAAGTGCAAGATATGATGATGGTATATTCACAGTAACAATTTCATTTATTCACCACCACTTACCATAGGAACACGTCTCAAGACATATCATAGAAGTCTTTTCAAACAAAATTTTTAACACTGAGTCAAACAATGATCATAGGACTGGTAGCCAAAACTTAAGTCAAATAAGTACCTTTTAAAAAGCAAAAGGTTGAGATTTCTGGGAAGGAAATTCTTAAGTTTAGGACATGTCTACCAAAGGTGAAATTATTCAGGTTCAGCATATCTAAGAGGTGAAAATTGGAGGAGGTTAGATATCTCAAAGGTCTTTGAGGGACAGCAAGTTACAAAGATAAGGAGGGCAAAGAACATAGGAGATTTAAAAGTAAAGTATGAGTTTTAAAACATTTCCATTTGGTACGCTAAATGTAGGATAGAGGATACAGAGAGGTGACTGAGACAGGAGTCAAGTCATGGAGAACACACGCTGTCATGGTTAGGGGTCATTGTTGTTGGGCCTCCTGAAATACTTCCTGTGGGCAGAAATGCAATTGCCAAGGATGAATGAGTCAGTGATTTAAACTTACCGCCTGTGTCGTAGACACCATGGTTGCACTGACAGGAACCTGCCTCACTGTGGCAGTGCCTGTTCCTATAGAGATTGGCAGCCCAGCTGTTGGTGTTACTTTAGTGATTGCCTTTGATCCCGCTGTTGCCAGAGTTACTGCTGCTGAGGTCATTGTACCAGCAGCAGTGAACAGTTTGCTGGAAGTTGCCACAGCAATGGCCTGTCCTGATTTGGGAATGACACCTAGTCCAGGCATTAGTCTGATGGTAGCTGCCGGTTTAGTGTCTGTTGAAGAGAGAGGAGCACTAGCCTTAGCCTTCTGGTCAGCCACTGTTACAGCCAGTGCAGGCATCAGTCGGATGGCCGTGCTGCTTGCCTCAGTTACTTTTAAGTCTGGTGTAACCTTGACCACTGTGGAGGTGGTGGAAGAGGTGGTGCTGGTAGGTGCCTTCACCATGGAGTCAGTTGGCTGCATGGCAGGGGTGACGTGTAAAGTGGCTGAAATGCCTTTACCACCCAGCAAGTCTGGGGTGAGTTTCACTGTAGTAACTGGTGCTTTGGTCAGTGTGGCCATCATGTCCTGTGTGATGCGAAGCACAGTCTGGCCCTTGGAGTCAGTGGTGATGGAGGAAGGTGCCAATCGCAGAACATCTTTGCCCTTGGTCCGGATGTTTGTTGCTGTAAGTGGGATCCCAGTACTGGACTGTGTCTTCACCCCAAGTTGGCCTGCAATAGCAACCTAGACAAAAATATTCTCCAATCAATTACGGCAGGCATTTATTCACAACTCTCAGCTTTAATAACCAGAGTTAGACCTATAAATGGGAATCTTAGCCCTGCCAGAAACCTGGTAAAACACAGACTGTTAATCCAAAGTCTGCTGCTCAGATCACAGTTCAGTTATTTTACAAAGTGCCTTTGACAATGTATCAGCAGCAATTTACTAGGTGATGTGAAGCTCCAGGAGGTGCCATAGAAACACCAAATACAGAGAAGGAACTTCAGTCATCACATGCCCAGTCTCAAATAAGGAACTTGAGTGATTCAATGAGCTAATTCAATGAATTGTAGTTGACTGTGGCCTCTGCTGTATCCCAAGAGCAATGGAATTAGTATTGTCTCCCGTTTGGGTTGAAGCGCTATTTCAATAGAAGATGTGGTTATGTAACTGGAAAACCAGAGGGTTTAGAAGCAAACTATTTTTTTAAAATAAAACATTGCCTTTCCCTATCGTTGGAGGAAACTCAAGCATGAGCAGAGCAGATTGAAATCACACACGATTCTACAATGAAGGTGTCTCTGCAAAGGATCATGATTCAAAGAGTTGCAGAGTCATACAGAATGGAAATAGACCCTTCGGTTTAACCAGTCCATGCCGAACATAGTCCTAAACTAAACTAGTCCCACCTGCCTGTGCTTGGCCCATATCCCTCCAAACATTTCTTAATCATGTATATATCCAAATGTCTTTTAAACACTGTAATTGTAACCACATCCACCACTTTCTGTGGAAGTTGACTCCACACACAAATCACTTTGTGTGCAAAACGACTGCCTCTCATGGCTTTTTAAAATTTTTCTCCTCTCACCTTAAAAGTATGCCCCCTAGTCTTGAAATCCCCAACCCTAGGGAAAAGACAGTTACCATTCATCTTATCTATATCCTTCATGATTTTATAAACCTCTATAAGGTCACCTGCAACCTCCTACGCTCCAGTGAAAAAGTCCCAGCCTTTCCAGCCTCTCCTTATAACTCAAACTCTCCTTTCCAGGCAATATCCTGGTAAATCTCGTCTGAACCCTCTCCAGCTTAGTAATATTCAAACTCTCCAAGTGCAGACAATAGTAACTGATGCACCTGATGGGAGCAAAGACCTGGCTACTGAAGATATCAGAAAAGAGAAAGTTGAAAACTGTTATGCCAAAGCTCCAGTCTACAACACTAGATTCACACCTAGTGCAGCTCACAATGAAAGAAGGAAAATGTCATGGCCACCAATGTCACCAGAAAACAACTTCACTAACAATATGTCCCCCTCCTTTCCCCCCTCCACAACCCAATCCAAGCAAAGGTTTGCTGTTCCTGTACCCACCTGCCTCATGATGCTTTGTCCAGCTACACTCTGTATGATGATGCTGGCAGAGCTGGATGTGGTGCTGTTCAATGTGCTGGACACAGTTTTGGAAGCAGCGCTGATTCCAGCCATCGTCAGATTGGTTTTTGCAGAGCCCTGCTGGATGTGGACAGTACTGGCACCAGACTGAGCCTTTACTGGCACCGTCAGAATAGACTGCAAGAATTATTACAGAATCAGAAAACCCATCTCTCATTCGTAAAACTCTCAACTATTTGGACAATTTTAATTATGTCACACTCTAGACACACTGCCACCTCCAACACTATTCCAATCTGAAGCAGCCCATTCAGTCCTGTCGTGAATAATAAGATCACTATTAGACATGCTAATGCTGCAGCTGTTCCTCTGTTCTCATGGCATATTCTGCCCAAAGACATTGTAATATGTTAGAAATAAAATGAAACCATGATGAGTCTCTCATATATAGTAGTGTCCAACAAATTATTTATTCGGGCGTTCAACCAGTAAGGCAGAGAATTCCAATCCCATGTCCTATCAGTTCAATGTAACCTTGAATTAGATGCTGCACAATATATTCAGTGAGGGTTTCCTGCTATTTGCTCAAAATATGCTCAACCTGTTACTGAAATCGGAGTATACAATATTAGCAAGAATATAGCCACTTGGAGAAGGAATAAAAACAACAGTGGAAGTAAATGAATATTAAGACTGCAGGGTGTAGATAGCAGCATGCCCAGGACCTATATCCTTCATCTTCCATTTACAGAAGGATTTTAGACACAGACGCAACAGAAGTCACATGGCAGTTTGCTGACAATACCAAATAAAATAGGATGGCAATCTGTGGGGTGAGTGCAGAAAGTTGCACAAGGGCACATAAAGTCCTGTAGAGCAAGCAGAAATCTAACAGATAAATTTTAAACAGAAAAATGGGCAATCTTACATTTTGGGAAGAGCCCAAAGTAGTACATCCTGAACAGCAATACCTTGATTGGAACAGAGGATACAGCTTATTTTAAAAGCAGAATTGGATAAACGTTTGAGAAGTATTAATGTTAATAAAAAGAAGAAAGGACAAGGAAATAGGACGAAAGCAAATTGAACAGTGACCGCTGGTGAAGCTATGATAGGCTCAATGGGCTGTACTGTGCTGTAAATTTTAATTCTAAAAAAGTAAATTCCCACATTGACCTCAATGCAACATCAGCTCCAAAGTAGATGAAACAAACTTGGTTTGGGAACACTTGTACACTCCAAGTGAGCATGGCCACAAATTGCAGGGCACAGCAAGCTGTGTACCTACTCCTTACCTGAGGCAGTACCTTAGTGTGAGCTGCTGCAGTGACCGCTGGGAGCCGCATCTGATGTTGATGTTGTTGGACTTGTTGTACAACAGAGGTTTGATGTGAAGTGGAAGTTAAACCTTGTTGAGCAGAAACTACCCGGACCTGGGGCAGAGGAGCAGCAACAGACTGAGACAGGATCCGAGCCTGTGTCTGTGGCCCAGTGTATTGCGCTGGCTGTGTTCCAGATAAAAGGTTCCCAAGCTGAGGCATCGTAGGTGAGGACACTAACAAAACACTGCAAAGAAATAGAAACTCTTCAGAAGAAATTGTAGTAAACTTTGTTTCTGACAAATTTGGCCGAAGGCAGTTCATACATCTCAAACCTCACTGACCTATTCTTTCAGTATTCACCCAGACCTGAAAAAGACTTACATTTCATAGCACATTTCATAACCTCATGATTTCCTAAGACACTTGACAGATAATGATGAATTTCTGAAGTGCAATCATTATTATAATGTGGGAAATTGTGCGCCTTAAACAGCAATGGTCAAATCATACATTCTATGAAGTTCATTGATCGATAATTAATAGCCAGGACACCAAGAAGAATTCTCCTGCTGGTCTTGGAATTGTGTCATTGTGACATTTTCAAGAGGGCAGATCAAGCTTTGGTTTAAACTTCTAATGCACAGGTCAGCTGCTTCAACACTATAGTAGTCCCTCAGTACTGCACTAGAAGGATCAGCCCAGATTTATGTGATCAAATATTGGGAGATGTCAGAATTCACAATCTCCTGATTCACTGGCAATGGTGTCTCCCACTAACCTAGTTCACAGGATGAGGGTGTGTTGGCAAGGCCTGAATTCATGGCCCATCTCTAATTGCCCCCAGAAGGTGATGGTGAGCAACATCCCCTCTAATTTGTTTTATGGTGTATGATTACAGAGACGTGACCCAGGGATGGACAGGAATGGCAGCATAATGTTCCAGGGTATAGATACTATAGGAAGAATAGAAGTTTGGAGGTGGGTGGTGAGGCAAGAGAGGAGGGGAGTGATGTTTTTAATCAGGGATAACATTACGGCTTTACTTAGAGAGGATATTCCTGGGAATACTTCCAGGCAAGTTATTTGGTAGAACTGAGAAATAAGAAAGGGACGATCACCTTATTGGGATTGTATTATCAAACCCCCAACAGTCAGCGGGAAATTAAGAAGCAACTTTGTACGGAGTTCTCAGATATCTGTAAGTATAATAGGATGCTAACAGTAGGGGATTTTAACTTTCCAAACATAGACTGAGACTTTCACAGTGTTAAGGGTTTGGATGAAGAGGAATTTGTTAAGTGTGTACGAGAAAACTTTCTGATTCAGTATGTGGGTGTACCTACAAGAGAAGGAGAAAAACTTGACCTACTCTTGAGAAATAAGGCTGCACAGGTAACTAAGGTGTCAGTGGGGAAGCACTTTGGGGCCAGTGATCATAATTCTATTTGTTTTAAATTAGTAATGGAAAAGGATAGATCGGATCTAAAGTTAAAATTCAAAATTGGAGGAAGGCCAATTTTAACAGATTTGAGCAAGAACGTTCAAAAGTTGATTGGGGGCAGATATTCGCAGGTAAAGGGACTGTTGGAAAATGGGAAGCCTTCAAAAATGAGGAAACATGAGTTCAGAGACAGTATGTTCCTGTTACAGTGAAGGACAAGGCTGGTAGGTGTAGGGAATACTGGACGAGTAGAGAAATTGAGGTTTTGGTCAGGAAAAAGAAGGAAGCATATGTCATGTATAGATAGCAGGGATTGACTGTACCTGTACAAGAGTATAAAGGCAGGAGGAGTATACTTAAGAGGGAAACCAGGAAGGCAAAAGGGGGACATGAGATAGCTTTGGCAAATAGGATTAAAGAGAATCCAAAGAGATTCTACAAATACATTAAGGACAAAAGAGTAACTAGGGAGAGAATAGGGCCCTTAAAGATCAGCAAGGCTGCCTATATGTGCAATCTGTGGGTGATGGGCGAGATACTAAACAAGTATCTGCATTAGCATTTACTCTGGAGAAGGATATAGAAGATAGAGAACTTGGGGAAATAAATAGCTACAGCTGAAAAATGTCCATGTTACAGAGGAGGTAGTGCTGTATGGCTTAAAACGCATCAAGGCAGATAAATCCCCTGGACCTGATCAGGTGTACCTTAGAACTCTGTGGGAAACGAGGGAGGTGATTGCTGGGCCCCTTGCTGAGATATTTATATCATCGATAGTAACAGGTGAGGTGCCAGAAGACTGGAGATTGGCTAACGTGGTACCACTATTTAAGAAAGATAGTAAGGAAAAGCCAGGGAACTATAGACTTTTGACCCTGACATCAGTGGTAGGCAAGTTGTTGGAAGGGATCCTGAGGGATAGGATTTACATGTATTTGGAAAGGCAAGGATTGATTAGAGATAGTCAACATGGATTTGTGCATGGGAAATCATGTCTCACTAACTTAATTAAGTTTTTTGAAGAAGTAACGAAGAGGACTGATGAAGGACATGATCTATACGGACTTCAGTAAAGCATTCAACAAGGTTCCTCTGATGAAGGGTCTAGGCCCGAAACGTCAGCCTCTCTGCTCCTATGATGCTGCTTGGCCTGCTGTGTTCATCCAGCCCTGCACCTTGTTGTCTCGGATTCTCCAGCATCTGCAGTTCCTACTATCTCTTCCTCTTGGTAGACTGGTTAACAAGTTTAGATCACATGGAATACAGGAAGAACTAGTTATTTGGATACAGAACTGGCTGAAAGGTAGAAACAGAGGGTAGTGATGGAGGGTTGTTTTTCAGATTGGAGCACCTTGAGGAGGAGTGTGCCACAAGGATCGGTGCTGTGTCCACTGCTTTTTGTCATTTACATAAATGATGTGGTTGTGAACATAGGAGGTATGGTTAGTAAGTTTGCAGATGACACCAAAATTGGAGGTGCAGTGCGTAGCGAAGATGTTTACCTCAGAGTTCAACGGAATCTTGATCAGATGGGCCAATTGGCCAAGGAGTGGTAGATGGAGATTAATGTAGAAACTGTGACGTGCTGCATTTTGGAAAGGCAAATCAGGGTAGGACTTATATACTTAATGGTAAGGTTCTGGGGAGTGTTGCTGAACAAAGAGACCTTCTAGTGCAGGCTCATAGTTCCTCGAAAGTAGAGTCGCAGGTAGACAGGATAGTGAAGAAGGCGTTTCGTATGCTTGCCTTTATTGATGCTTTGAGTACAGGAGTTGGGAGGTCATGTTGCACCGGTACAGGATATTGGTTAGGCCACTTTTGAAATATGTGTTCAATTCTGGTCTCCCTGCTAAAGGAAGGATGTTGTGAAACTTGAAAAGGTTCAGAAAAGATTTACAAGGATGTTGGCAGGGTTGGACAGCTAGAGCTATAGGGTGAGGCTAAATAGGCTGGGGCTATTTTCCCTGGAGCATCGGAGGCTGAGGGGTGTCTTTATAGTTGCTTATAAAATCATGAGGGGTATGGATAGTGTGAATAGCCAAGGTCTTTTCACCAGGTTAGGGGTGTCCAAAACTAGACGGCCTTTGTTAAAAATGAGAGGGTAAAGATTTAAAAGGGATCTAAGGGGCAACATTTTCACACAGAGGGTGGTCCGTGTGTGGTATGAGCTGCGAGAGGAAGTGGTGGAGACTGGTACAGTTACAACTTTTGAAAGGCACCTGGATGGGTACATGAATAGGAAGGGTTTAGAGGGATATAGGTCAAATGCATCGCAAATGGGGCTAGATTAATTTAGGATATCTGGTCGGCATGGACAAGTTGGAGTGAAGGGTCTGTTTGCATGCTGTACAGATCTATGACATCATGACTACATCTGCCTAACTTGAATGAATCAATATCTTCTCATTCCAGAATCTCTCTTGGGGGTGGTGGGGAGAGAATGTTGGGTAGAGGTGGTGGTTTGGATATTGCACTATATATATTCTAGAAACATTGGCAATGTCCCTTCCCATCAAATGGTAAAATAAAACTAACAGTTGAAGACATATTTGCCCAGATACCTCTTTCCCAGTAGCTGTTTGCGGAAATGATCATTAGCAGTGGATGCAGTACTGAGCTCTCAAGCCCAGAAACATTGTATGTTCAGTCTATGGTCTATAGTGAATTAGCAGAACCTAACTCTGCTGTGAAATTCTCAGCCAACTGCTAATCATACTTACCTTGTCCGTGGAATCTGGCTGCTCTGCTGAGGAGAACATGTTCCCAGCCAACTAGAGGCCAGCACTAGTCCACACCTTCAAAGGAAGTGGGGAGAAAACCCAGGAAAGAAAAGGTAATCAACTGAACTAAGACTTTGGAAACAAACAACCAGCTGAGAGGTTTTGAAACAGCCTGAAGCTCTTAGATTATCTCACTGCTTTCATTTTCGCCAGCACAATGTCAGATATCCATTGCACTGTTCTAACATGATGAGCTGGTGCTTCAAGCAGATATTAAACAAGATGATAAAACAGTCTTGTGTAAAACTTAAATATACCAGGAATAACTGACCTTTGACCAGATTTAACCAGTTCTGGTGCACTAGTTGTTGGTACTTTGTTGCCATCAGTCGATATCGGTGGTGATGTGGGAGTAACTGGTAATGTTGGAGTTACAGGGGTTACAGGCGTTACAGGTAAGCTGGAATCTGCCAACACCTGGGATGCCAGAGACTGCTCAGAGAATGGGAGCTTTGTTGCACTCTCCTTACCAGAAGTCTTCTAGAGAAAACAAATATGACATTAAAATCCATTCCCAGCACATGGAAAGGAAGTAACTGTCACTCTGCCTACTTTTGGCTGCTCAATCACCACCCAACGTCACTGATATATTCAGTCTCACTGAGACAGGATCTTGCTCAGAGCAGATTTTAACTGATGCTCTTGTACAAAACTGTTTTGTTAAAAAATATTGTAATGTCCCAAGTGAGGTATAATTATTGGGGAAATTCAAAACTAGGTGGCAGAGAAAGTGGCAGCACCAAGAGGTAAAAGATACCGAATAAAAATGAAACATTTAATGGTTGAGCAAGAACAAGACATAGAGACCATGTGCCATAAGGCCTCTTTGGGGATTGCATGATTATTTGATATTCTACAGCAATGTGACTTAACTGAGTGAGTGGTAATTCAGAAGCCCCGGCAGGAGATTCTGGACTCAGAAGGTTGATTCATTCAAGTTAGCCTGAATTAGTCATGGAGTCATAGAGCTGTACATCATGCAAACAGACCCTTCGGTCCAACTCATCCATGCCGACCAGATATCCTAAAATGATCTAGTCACATTTGTCAGCATTTGACCTATATTCCTCCAAACCCTTCCTTTTCATATACCCATCCTTTCAAAAGTTGTACCTGTACCAGTCTCCACGACTTCCTCTAGCAGCTTGTACCTGACATGCACCACCATCTGTATGAAAATGTTGTCCCTTAGATCCCTTTTAAATCTATCCCCCTCATCTTAAACAAAGGCCCTCTAGTTTTGGACACCCCTACCCTGGTGAAAAGACCTTGGCTATTCACACTATCCATACCCCTCATGATTTTATAAACATCTATAAAAACACCCCTCAGCCTCTGACACTCCAAGGAAAATAGCCCCAGTGTATTCTGCCTCTTCCTATTGCTCAAACCCTCCAACACTGGCAACATCCTTGTAAATCTTTTCTGAACTCTTTCAGGTTTTGCAACGTCCTTCTTAAAGCAGGGAGACCAGAATTGAACGCAGTATTCCAAAAGTGGCCTAACCAATGTCCTGTACAGGCACAACATGACATCCCAACTCCTATACTCAAAGCGCTGACCAATAAAGGCAAGCACACCAAATGCATTCTTCACTGTCCTATCTATCTGCAACTCCAAATTCAAGGAACTATGAACGTGCGCTTCAAGGTCTCTTTGTTCAGCAACACTCCCCAGGAGTCCTTATAGATCACGTCCATGCCCTGCCCTCATCAATCCCCTTCGTTACTTCTTCAAAAGACTCAATCAAGTTAGTGAGACATAGTGGTCATTGAAGATTCTTCTCCTTCCAGATCTTCTGACTTGTAGTCTCTGTCATGCCAAATCCATCTAATCATCAAAACTCCACCTCCCTGATACACCCTCTCCTGAATTTGTGTTCCCACTCAAGATCCAAATTGGATTCCAAGCAGGGCACAGGATCATGAAAGTTTGAGTTCCAATAATGAGAAAGTGCCGAGCTGGGCTGTTGAAATGATGATTTGTTTTAAATGCTCCCAGTCACTGCTTCCCTGTCCAGAACTCCTACTGTGAATGAAGGCTCTGGAAATGCACAGCAATAGGCAGAAAAGGCAGCTTTGACAGTCATTTAAAGAAAAACATTAATCATAACAGCACCAGCTAGCCAGTCCCAACTTTCCAGGGGGCACAGAGTTATGGTAAGGGGGAGGAAGTTTGACAGGATGTGAGGAAAATACTTTTTAAACCCAGAGGAAATCTGGAACTCACTGCTTGTAAGGGTGATAGAGGCAGAAACCTTCTTGGCATTTAAGAAGTATTTAGATGCACACTTGTGATGCCAAGGCAAACAAGACAATGGGCCAAATGCTGGAAAATGGGATTAGATTGGTAGGTGGCTGCTTTTGACAAACACGGACATGATGGGTCAAAGAGCCCTTGTCTGTGCTCTAGATCTCTATGACTCCGAGGTCATTAGACTTCTTATTTTCAGCTATTGCATGCGCTGGCCAGGATATTGCTGTGACCAAGTAACAAGTGATCAGTGCAGAGCAGCTACCTCTCTCGGGAACTCTCTCTCTCACAGCTCAAGGGAAGCAAGTAAAGCTGCTTTATGGAGGTCACAAATCACGTGACAAACCAAGTGTAGCGGTCCTATCTCTTGAGCTCTGACCAAAAGGTAGCGGGTTGGAATCAGGAACTTTCTCACCTTTCAAGTAAATAATACTCACAATCTTGGTTGTCAGCTTCGGTTTCTGTTGCAACGCCTTCTTCGCTTTAGCTGCTGCAGCCTGGGCCTGGTGAATCCGTTCTGCAAAAATTCAGACCAAGAATGAGTCAGACTTCAATGACTGTTACCCAGTGACACTGCAATAATGTCAATTATCCTGAAGTTGAACTGTTTCAGGATACAGGATGAATCTGCAGCTTATAATGATGGTCACCAGTATTTGTTTAGGATTGCCAGCTCAAGCAGGACACAGTCCACAACCACTCTCAATCAGCAGCCAACTGGCGTGACACTCAGTCAATCTCCCAGGACAGTCAATGCCTTGAAGAAAAGAGCAGCCTGTTTAAGAAAGCTGAGGTCCTTCTGTTGCTGTACACTTTTTAGAACTGTCGCATACTTAGTCTACACTGCTTCGCCCCAGCCCTTCTGCCAAGGTGCATCACTTGATACTTGTGTGTTAAAATTCCATCTGCCATTGTTATAGGTAAGTGGTATCATTCATGTTGCTTGTCACAGTGGAGGCTTGAAATCATTGACAAATTTTGAACCTTTACTGTGTTCCAATATCCAAATTATTTATAAAAAAAGGTTATAGAAGAATTGGAGAAGGTACAGAGAGGATTTAATGGATAACATCAGAAATGCAAGAGTATGGATATCAGGAAAGGATTAACTTTTTTGCTTCTGAGAAAAGGTAGTTGAGCAGTGACCTAGCAGAGAATTTACAATTATGAAAAGTTTTTAATTGAGTGGTTATGGAATGAACGGTTCCACTTGTGGGAAAAAGCATAACATGACGCCATCAACATAAGACAGTCATCAAGAAATCCGACAGAGAATTCAGAAGAAAGTTCTTTACCCAAAGACTATGAAACTGGTTACGACATCAATTGGTTTAAGTGAATAGAGTGATGAAAGGTATTTAATTTATATTTTTTATATAAAAAAAATTTGTGAATTTGCGACCTTATCCAAGAGCAAGCGACTTGTCAGACAGCAAGTCATTACAAATCTCGTGGACTGTTAATGGAAGAATGCCTATTTATACTGTGGAGTTTACAACAGGGAGTATAAACACGAAAAAGTGTTAGCTTGTTCTTAGTTAAGAATGATCAAGAATTGGATCTAGTTTAGAAAACCCAGAACTTGAAAGCTTTCAGGGAGTTTTGGAGGAGACCATAAGAGGGGTGTCAAAACTAAATTTTGTCTCTTTCCTCTTATACATCAAAGTTGATCTTTCTCTGCACATTGTATGTAGCTGTAACACTATATTCTACACTCTGGTCTATTACTCTGATGTATTAGTAAGATATGATTTGACTGGATAGCACACAAAACAATAGTTTTCACTGTATTTCTGTACATGTGACAATAATAAATCAAATCAAATATAAAGGCATATAGGATAGTTCACAGGAATTCAGTTTCTTTAGGATAAAAATTTAGTTTGTGAAGCTTATAAACCAGGAATGTTTGGTGAGAAATGCGTTTTTTCGTTAAAGAAACTCTGTTGTCTTGTGTGCTTGTGTTTTAGTGAATTACCACCACTTAAAATAAAAACAAGTATGATGTATCGAGCCAGATTTCAAATTGGGATCTGATTTGTCCAAGGCCAATATCAGCTGGGATCATAATAGTGCAGATTAATTTAAGGAGAAGCTAGACAAGCATTTGATAAAGAAGGGAATAGAGGGTTATGATAGAAGCTATAAATGAAGATTGGAAGAGGCTTGAGTGGAGTATAAATACCGGCATGGACTGGTTGGGCTGAATGGCCTGTTTCTTTGTGCATTGATCTGATGTAACCAAAACACTGCATTGAGTATGAGGCCTGAGATTGTCTTGCCTGATGTTTCAAATCTAATTTGGAGTATTTTCAGTCACATGTTACATCAAAACACCATAAGGATGGTTAACTGGAGATGGATTCAGCAGTCTGGTTAACCAAGGAGCGTCAACGATGCAGGGTGCTGGGGATGCCAAACATAATGGTACCATTTAGCATACCAACTGTTATATCACTCACACACCAACTGTAGACTCATAGAATCCCTACAATGTGCAGGCAGGCCATTTGGCCCATTGAATCCACATTAACCCTCCAAACAGCATCCCACGAAGGCCCACCCCCCTACCCTATAACCCAGCATTTCCCCATGGCTGGTCCACCTAGCCTGCACATCCCAGGACAACATGGGTAATTTAGCATGGCCTATCCACCTAACTTGCACATCCTTGGACTGTTGGAGGAAACCAGAGCACCAGAGGAAACCCAAGCAGACAAGGGAAGAATGTGAAAACTCTACACAGACAGTTGCCCGAGGGTGGAATCAAACCCAGGTCCTTGGCACTGTGAGGCAGCAGGGCCGCCCCAAGGTGATACAAACACTCAAACTTCGAGAGAAAAACAGAAAATGCTGGAAATACTTAGAAAGTATCTGTTGAGCTAAAAGGTTGTTGATCTGAAACAATAACTGTAGTTCGGGCCCATTTATAGTTTTTTTTTGCTTTTATATTTTTGCAGGTTCGTGAAGGGCTGTATAAATCCCATAGTTTCAGGATAAAAATTGCCCCAGCAATGATAGTTAAACAAGAAAGTCATGTGACTATCTGAAAGCACGCGGTTCAGTTAGACCTACCATTTCCTATATTAGAGTTGGTTTCCTCCCCACACACCTTTCCGTACAAAAGCCAGTTCCCACAGCTCTTGTTCCCTTTAGAGTGAAGGTGCTCCTGACAAACAAACTAATATGGCATACCATTCTCCAGTTTAACGGATCTGCTTATTATTCTTGGATTTCTAAGAAACACCCTCTCATCATTTCAGGCAATCAACTGAAAACGCATACCTTCATTTAAGATAAAAGCCTCAAGCAGATTTAATCTGCAGATAAAGCATTATAGCAGAAAGCTATTACAATCCAAATACAAGATAACAAGGTGTAGAGCTGGATGAACACAGCAGGCCAAGCAGCA